AGGACTCCATTCCTGGCTTGCAGATGGCCACCTTCTCACTGTTTCCTCACATGGCATTTCTTCTGAATGCACGAGCAGGGAGAGAAAGATCTCATGTCTCTTCCACTTTTTGTTTTTGTTTGAGACCAAGTCTCGCTCTGTTGTCCAGGCTGGAATGCAGTGGCGCAATCTTGGTTCACTGCAACCTCCGCTTCCCATGTTCAAGCGATTCTCCTGCCTCAGCCTCCTGAGTAGCTGGGATTACAGGTGCCCCCCACCAGGCCTACCACCACACTCACCTAATTTTTATATTTAGTAGAGACACTGATCCACCATACCAGCCAGGCTGGTCTCAAACTGCTGACCTCAAGTGATCTGCTCACCTTGGCCTCCCAAAGTGCTGGGATTACAGGTGTGAGCCACTGTGCCTGGTCCCTTCCACTCTGGTAGGACACTACTCCTACCAGATCAGGAACCATCCTCGTGACTTCACCTCATTTAACCTTCATTACTTCTTTCAAAGCCTTATTTCCGACACAGCTACACCATGTGAATCTGGTGGTGGTGGGGGACAGTGTCAAACATTCAATGACCTTCAATTACTCCAGTTATTTCACCTGCTGTTAAGGTGTTGCTGACTCCAGAAGACTCTTAAAGTATGTGACTAAAGAGCTAATCCCAGAATAGTTTCAGAGATGGACTATGCTTAACAACTATGTGATTCAATCACAGTATTTTACACATGGAGAAACTGAGGCCCAGAGAGGCACATCATTCACCCATGCAGAGTGGCGAGGTTATGATTAGAACCAGGGCGTCCAGGCATCCAATCAGAGATAGAGGGTATGTCACCCCGTTTTACTACCACACCTCCTGCAATTCAGTAATTCAAGCACAGTCACTGGATATGAACATATGCAGGCATGGTGCTTACCTGGCACTCAAGGTCTTCTATATTCAGACCATTTTGTGATGTTCACAGCTTTTTTCCACAGCCCTGGGGGAAAGTGATGCTATTAAGAAACCAACGATTAGGCCAGGGGTGGTGGTTCACGCCTGTAATCCCAACACTTTGGGAGGCCGAGGTGGGTAAATCACAAGGTCAGGAATTTAAGACCAGCCTGGCCAACATGGTGAAACCCCATCTCTGCTAAAAAAACAAAAAATTAGCTGGGTGTAGTGGCAGGTGCCTGTAATCCCAGCTACTCAGGAGGCTGAGGCAGGAGAATTGTTTGAAATCTGGGAGACAGAGGTTGCAATGAGCCAAGATCATACCACTGTACTCCAGCCTGGGTGACAAAGTGAGACTCCATCTAAAAAAACAAAAAACAAAAAAACAACTAATGATTGTAGGAAGCTTCTGGAACCCCCTACTGGGCTGGAGGGACAATAAAGAGAGAAGAGTTTTCACCCCGAGCCCATAAGCATGAGCTTACTCACAATAAACGCATCTGTAGCATTGCTGATACTGCCACTACCATGACGATCACTGCCTTTCCCACTGGGCAGGAAGCCAAGAGTTCACCTGTTTGTGCTATTGCAACAGCCACCAGAGCCACCCCTGCTGCCCTCACCCAGCACCCTAGCATTGCAGGGCCCACAGCTGCCTACCATACCTCCTGATAAACATCATAAATGGAAAAAAAATGGCCTCTCCCTCCCACCTTCCAACCAACTTCATGTAATTGCCTTCCACTAGCAGAACCTACCTGGCAAGGAACCCAGCTGACCAGGAAGTTTGGGAAATGCCGTTTCCAGGCTTCTAGCCCCTGAGATCTATAGGAGAATGTGGGCTGGGTGTGATGACTCATGTCTGTATTCTCAGCACTTTGGGAGGCCAAGGTGGGAGCATCACTTTAAGCCTAGGAGTTTGAGACCAGCCTGAGCAAAATAGTGAGACCCCCATCTACAAAAAAATAAGAAAATGTGGAAAGGCAGGAAAAACCATAGACAATCTCTGGGTATAGTTACTAGGAGGAAGTGAACAGGCAAGAATGTGGTACCTGAAGGTGAAGTTTTAGAATTCAGACATGTTCCACCAAGAATAATCAGCAGTGCTGGGGGTGTCACAAATACCATCTGGAAGAGCCTTTTTTCTCTGGTTTTCTCAACAAAACTAGCCCAGCGGAGAATCTGCTCTCCCACGTCAGAGGAACAGCTGAAAGAAGCTGAGTACCTCCTCCAGGAGGTCAGAAAATTCTGCTCAAGCCGAGAAGCCAAGAAGCCCAGAGGCGCCGTTCCACACTCATGCCAGGAGCCAGATTGGTCAGCTGGAGCTGCCATGACAAAATGCCACAGTCTAGGTGTCTTTAACAACAGAAATTTGTTTTCTCACACTTCTGGAGGCTGAAGTCCAAGATCAAGGCAGGTTTGGCTTCTCCTTAGGCCTCTCCGAGATGTGCATAGTCTCCTTCCTGCTGTGTCCTTGTGTCATGGCATCCCTGGTGCATCTTCCTCTTTTATAAGAATGCCAGTCCTATAGGATTAGGACTCCACTCCTATGGACTCATTTAATCTTAATTACCCTTTAAAGGCCTCATCTCCAAACAGAGTCATGGTGGATGGGAGGTTAGGGCTTCAATTTAGGACAAGGGATACAATTCAGTCCATAACAGGAACTGAGTTGATATCTACAACTCTGAGAATAAACAGACCTCACTTTATTTTTTTGAGAGTCTCTCTCTGTTGCCCAGGCTGGAGTGCAGTGGTGCGATCTCAGTTCACTGCAACCTCCACCTCCTGTGTTCAAGTGATTCTTGTGCCTCAGCCTCCCAAGTAGCTGGGACTACAGCCATGCACCACCACTCCTGGCTAATTTTTGTATTTTCAGTAGAGACAGGGTTTCATCGTGTTGGCCAGGCCAGTCTTGAACTCCTGACCTCAAGGGATCTGCCTGTCTCAGCCTCCCAAAGTGCTGGGATTTCAGGCGTGAGCCACCATGCCCATCCCAGATGGGCATGGAATATGCTGAGTCATCCCTGACTCCCACCTCTAATTTTAATTCACGTTGGTTTGTTCTTCCATTTACTTACACCACAAATATTTATTGAGTTCCAGTTATGTGCTGGGCACTGTACTAGCACTGGGGACATGGGTGTTGACACTGGGCAGGTGACTACAGTGCAATACAACAGAGGCATGCTCACAGTGCCTAAGGTCAGGCTGTTGGTGAGATGCCCTGCAGGCAGAGATGCCAGACAAGGCTTTCTAGAGGACGTGGGATGGGCACCCAGTTCCAAAATGTGAGGCAGAATTATCCGCTTGTGGAAGGGATTTGTTTAATCAGTGGGCCTCAGGAGAGGTCCCTATTTGCCTAGACTTGTACAGGAGAGGAAGGTAGGTTTTATGTAAAACTCTTCTACTCCAGGTATGGCCCACAGATCAGGAGTATTAGAATCAGCCGGGAGCTTCTTAGATCGACTCACTCTCAGAGTCCATTCCAGACTTACTCAATTAAAAGCTGCTGTTTAACAAGCTCCCCAGGGCACAAGTGGACATTAAAATTTGGGAATTGCTGATGTAGTGAAATCACATTGCTTCACAGATGGACAAACCAAGGCCCAGAGGGAGCAAGGAATTCTTTTAAGGTAATGCAGATAACACAGCATTGACAGGAAAAAAAGGAAAGTCTTAAATCTAAATTAGGGTCGGGCACAGTGGCTCACACCTGGAATCCCAGCACTTTGGGAGGCTGAGGTAGGCAGATCACAAGGTCAGGAGATTGAGACCATCCTGGCAAGCATAGTGAAACCCCGTGTCTTTTAAAAATGCAAAAATTAGCTGGATGTGGTGGCACATGCCTTTAGTCCCAGCTACTCGGGAGGCTGAGGCAGGAGAATCACTTGAACCTAGGAGGTAGAGGTTGCAGAGAGCCAAGATTGCACCACTGTGCTCAAGCCTAGGTGACAGAGCGAGACTCTGTCTCAAAAAAAAAAAAAATCTAAATTCGACATCCAGCTCCAGTTCGATGGATTCACACATATGGCAGGCCACCTACAGCCTGGCCAACATGGTGAAACCCTGTCTCTACTAAAAATACAAAAAATTAGCCAGGTGTGGTGGCAGGCGTCTGTAGTCCCAGCTACTTGGCAGGCTGAGGTGGGAGAATAGCTTGAACCTGGGAGGCAGAGGTTGCAGTGAGCTGAGATCGTGCCATTGCACTCTAGTCTGGGCGACAGAACGAGACTCTCAAACAAAACAAGGCAAAAATACCCCAAAGCAGTGTCCAACATACAGTCATAGATAACTCATAGAGTACAAGATTGGCAATTGGCAGAAAAAAAGAGACAAATAATAGAAACAGATCTGCAAAGAGTTAAAATATTGAATTATCAGATGTAGACTTTTAAACGAATAGGCTGAATTTATTTCATTTCATTTCATTTATATATATAGATTACAATTAACCTTGTGACGTAAAATTAACTCATAGGCAGTGTACCCAGAGTCAGCCTGAACTTTTTTTTAAGGCAAACTTGTCGATGTCTTCAATGAATTGGAAACTATGAAAGGCAATGTAGTCTATTTTTAAAAGAACCAAATAGAACTAGAAAAAATGTAATCACAAACATATATACATGTGTACATACATATATAAATGCCTACCTACATGCTAACTTCAGCACATAGGTTTAACGACAAAAAAATACAAAACTAAAGAGGGAGGTAGAGAATTGGGAGACAGGACTGGTGAACGTAATTCTGCTGCAGGATAGCGAGCCCCAAAACCGGGTTTTAGCCCTGAAGGTTGTCAGCCTCACTAGGAAAGAAGTCAAGGGCAAGCCTGTGGTGTTAAACAGCAATCTTACATGAATTGTACCTCTCCTGGCAGAGCAGGGGTAACTCCTAGGCAGTGAGCCCAGAGTCTGCAATGTGTGGGCTGTTGGCAGCTCTATTTATAGCTACCTGTACCCACTTTCAATTACTTGCAAATTAAGGGGCAAGTTATTTAGAAAGTGCTAGGAAGTTACTGCCCCTTTCCATGACAATGACCCAGAAAATTAGTCGTCATGGAAAGGGGCAGTAACTTCCGGGTCGTTGCCATGACATTTATAAACTGTCATGGCGCTGGCGGGCATGTCCTATAGTAAAGGACCTATACTAATAAGCAACAAGGGCGGCTAGGGATTGCTTTTGTCGCCATCTGCTGGTTTCCGCTGGTTTCTTCACTTCATCCTGTGTGGACCATCTTTCAGTCAGCACGGTTGTGACAAGAAGACAAGTCCTGCCGGTCTCCTTCCTCATTTCCAAGAGACAAAAAGATAGGATGTGCAGAGAAATAGAAAAAAGACTTCGAAAACAATTTAAACATCTAATGAACATTTTGTCAGAGACCCAGAAAGAGGAGTGAAAGAATGGGCAGTGACGACGTTGAAGATGGAGTAGCTGGAAAGGGGACCTTCACGGCACCACCCATGAGTAAGGGGCTGCTGTAAAGAGACAGGGGTGGTCGCCACACTCCTGCAGCCCAGTGGGTTCCTTCTTGGAATCAGAGAATCAAAATAAAAGGGCGAGTTCCACCTCCAGTCTCATTCTTGGCTTCAATATTTCCTCTCCAGATGTCTTTTTCATCTATTTCCAGTAGGTCCTTATTCTATGTGAAAAAATTAAAAATCCGGTGTTTATTTTGGATTTCAAAGACACAGCAGGCACAGTCCCTAGACAAAAATACATAACTCAGTGCTCAAGAAAGAGTTTTGCATTTTCTGGCACTGTGGATATTAGAGGCACCTGGGCCAGGGAGCAGATCTCTCTGGAATCTAAGTGACAGGTCTGCTGCCTGCAATTGTGTGGTTTGTGCACTGTACGAAGGTGCCTGCTAAGAGGACAGGGTCCTGAATTCCAGCCGTGGCCCTGCTTGACAAGCTGTGTGCCTCAGCTACGGCCTAACAGAAGGCTGCATTTACCCAGAGCAGGCCCTTTTTCTGTTTTTGCGCAAAAGCACTCATTGAGTAATGGTGTTCCAACCCAACTGTCCACTGCAGAAGTGTCTAACAAGAGACAAATCCATTCTCAGGTACTTCAAAAAGGCCAACCAAGGCTATGTAATGGTGTGGTTGCTCTATAGATAACTTGTACCCACTTTCAATTATTTGCAAATTAAGGGGCAAGTTAATTTGGTATAGCATGGTTGTAGGGTGGCCAACTGTGAGCCCACACTAAGGGTTTTCCTGTCATGTGTGGCTGCCATGCTAAAGTCAAGACAGTGTCTTGACCCAGGTGGCTGGTCATCTTACTCTTGGAGCTCCCTGGAGTTTGGGTAGCTTTTGACTGTCACTACACAAAGGACTGAATTCTTGATGTTGTCCTTTCCCTTCCCCTGTTGCTCCCTTGCCTTGTGCTGACACTTACACTTGTAGGGCACAGACCATGTTGTAGCAGGAAGAATTCTCCCCACACAAAGTTTGCATCTAATGGGGATGTTCCCGTGTCAACGCCTCAGTCACCATGGCTGATTTGGAAAGTCACTTCTTTTCTCCCCACACTAATGCTCCTACAGGGGTCGGCTTATCTACTACTTTTTTACTCTGTGCAGCATCCTGTTCTCTAACTACCCCCTGCATTATCTCAGAGCACCATGTCTCACTTTTTCGATTTCTGGATATAACCAGTTCATTTCCTAATCTGAACCCCCCAGGTTCTACCACTGACCTTCTGGCTGTTGTACAGAAAAGTACTAATATTTTATGGCCAGGTATGGTAGCTCATGCTTTTAATCCCAGCACTTTGGGAGGCCGAGGCAGGAGGCTCACTTGAAACCAAGAATGCTTTTTTTTTTTTTTTTTTTTTTTTTAGACAGAGTCTCTCATTCTGTCACCCAGGCTGGAGTACGGTGGCACAATCTTGGCTCACTAAAACCTCTGCCTCCAGGTTCAGGCAATTATCCTGCTTCAGCCTCCCAAGTAGCTGGGACTACAGGCATGTGCCACCATATCTGGCTAATTTTTGTATTTTTAGTAGAGATGGGGTTTCGATATGTTGGTTTGGAACTCCTGATCTCAGATGATCCACCCGCCTCAGCCTCCTAAAGTGCTGGGATTATAAGCGTGAACCATCATGCCCGGTAAAGCCATGAGTTCTTTTTCTTTTTTTCTTCTTATTTTTTTCGGAAGTATGTGATGAGAGAAGCCAGAAGTTCAAGACCAGCCTGGACAACATAATGAGACCCCCATATCTACAAAAAGTAGTAAAAATTAGCTGATGTGTGCCTGTAGTCCTAGCTACTCAGGCGACTGAGGTGGGACAATTTCTTGAGCCCAGGAGTTAAGGCTGCAGTGTGCTATGATTGCACCACTGAACTCCAGCCTGAGTGCCAGAGCAAGACCCTGTCTCTCTAACAACAACAGAAAAACTGAATGAAAATATTTTAGGCCGGGCGTGGTGGCTCATGCCTGTAATCCCAACACTTCGGAAGGCCAAGGCGGACGGATTACCTGAGGTCAGGAATTCAAGACCAGCCTGGCCAATATGGTGAGACCCATTCATCATACATACTAAAAATACAAAAAATTAGCTGGGCATGGTGATGCTTGCCTGTAATCTCAGCTACTTGGGAGGCTGAGGCAGAAGAATTGCTTGAACCTAGGAGGCAGAGGTTGCAGTGAGCTGAGATCATGCCACTTCACTCCAGCTTGGGTGACAGAATGAGACTCTGTCTCAGAAAAGTAAAATAAAATATTTTATTTTATTTTATGATACCAAATTTCTTGCCAGTTTATTTTTCTGTACATATTTTTATATAGTTCAGAACAGATTGTATACTTTCGTATTTAGCTTTTTTTAACCTAACATTATAATGTGAACATTCTATTACAATGTTGAAAACACTGTTTTTCCTAGACACAATGTTCATTGACTATATTCTGCTCCATCACATGGCTGTATCTTAGCTTGACCATTCCCCTACAGTCATCTATACCGGGGTCAACAAACTTTTCCTTAAAGGTCCAGATAGCCAGGCACGGTGGCTCACACCTGTAATCCCCGCACTTTGGGAGGCTGATCACTTGAGGAGGATCACTTGAGCCCAGGAGATTTGAGACCAGCCTGGGCAACACAGCAAGTGCCGTTTCTCCAAAAAAATAAATAAATAAAAGGTCCAGATAGTAAACATTTTAGGCTTTGTTGGCCATATAGTCTCTGCCCTTATAGCATGAAAAGAGCCATAAGCCATAAACAATACATATATGGGTGTGGCTGTATTTCATACAACTTTACCAAAATCACAGGATGAGATGATTCTGTGGGTCATGTAACCAAGTCCAAAGCATGTACCACTCACTACAGGACATCTAATAAGTTGAGAAACAAGGGGTTGAGGCAAGGAAAGTGACTTTTATCCAGAGAGCCAGCAAACCAAGAAAATGGCAGAGTGGAGTCCTAAAGAACCATTTTAAGTCAATACAAATTTCAGGCTCCTTCTGTGTGAGGGGAAGGTGGAAGAGGGAGAGAGTTGAGGTCAAGAAGTGACCAGTGATCACAGACACCTGGGTGGCAGCAAACGTCTAAGGAGGTGGTGAAACTTTGTCCTTGGTCAGGTCACAAGGCTCTTATAAATCTTTAACATCACATTATTACTTTCATGCAGCCTCCTTATCTCCTCAGGGGATAGTTTTGGGGGCGGCACTATTACCATCCTTGCTTTAAAGTTAAACTATAAACTATTTTCCTCTCATAGTTAGCTTGGCCTATGTGAAAAGATAAGCAAAAGCAGTTAGCCTAAAAGCTACAGGTTATCCCTGCAGGGGATCAGGAGCAAAATGGAGTTAGTCACACTAGGCCTCCTTGTCACAAAGTTAGACGGAGTCTCACTTTGTCGTCCAGGCTGGAGTGTAGTGGTGTGATCTTGGCTCACTGCAACCTCCACCTCCCAGGTTCAAGCAATTCTCCTGCCCCAGCATCCAGAGTAGCTGGAATTACAGGCGTGCACCAACACACTGGGCTAATTTTTGTATATTTAGTAGAGACAAGTTGGCCAGGCTGGTCTCGAACTCCTGACCTTAAGTGATCCACCTGCCTCCGCCTCCCAAAGTGCTGGGATTACAGGCATGAGCCACTGCACCTGGCCCAATGCTGAGAATTTATTTTCTTTGTGCAGTGGGCAGGAAGAACCTGCCAGGCAGTTAAAATAAGAGTTCCAAGCCATAGCTCACACCTGTAATACCAGCACTTTGAAAGGCCAAGGCAGGCTGATCACATGAGCCCAGAAGTTGCAGACCAGCATAGGCAACATGGTAAAACCACATCTCTATTAAAAAAAAAAAAAGTGTAAAAATTTAGCCAGGCATGGTGGCATGTAACTGTAGTCCTAGCTACTTGGGAGGCTGAGGTGGGAGGATCATCTGAGCCTAGGAATTTGAGGCTGCAGGGAGCCATGATCATGTCAGAGGTGTTTGAACCACAATGACTCCATCTTGAATAGGGGCTGGGTAAAATAAGGCTGAGACCTACTGGGCTGCATTCCCAAGAGGTTAGTATTCTAAGTCACAGTTTAAGTCAGCACAATGTACAGGTCACAAAGACCTTGCTGACAAAAGGATGTGGTAAAGAAGCCGGCCAAAACCCACCAAAAACCAAGATAGCAAGGAAAGTGCCCCCGGTGATCCTCACTAATCATGATACGCTAATTAAATATATTAGCACGCAAAAAGACATGCCCACCAGTGCCATGGCTATTTACAAATGCCATGGCAATGTCAGGAAGTTACCCTACATAGTCTAAAATGGGAAGAACCCTCAGTTCCAGGAATTGCCCACCCTTTCCCCCCTACCCCAAAAACTCATGAATAATCCACCCCTTGTTTAGCATGTAATCAAGAAATAACCATAAAAATAGACAACTAGCAGCCCTCAGTCTGCTTTGCCTACAGAGTAGCCATTCTTTTATTTCTTTACTTTCTTAATTTGCTTTCACTTTACTCAAATTCTTTCTTTCCCAAATTCTTTTTTACTCGAGCTCCAAGAACTCTCTCTTGGGGTCTGGATTGGGACACCTTTTCGGTAACAATTGCACCACTGCGCTCCAGCCTAGGTGACAGGAGTGAGACATTGTCTCAAAAAAAAAAAAGGAGTGTCAGGAGAAACCGATGTGTGTGTGTGTGTGTGTGTGTGTGTGTGTGTGTTGGAGGGGTGTGTGTGTGTACTGGAGGTGTGTGTGTGTGTTGCAGGTGTGTGTGTTTTGGAGGTGTGTGTGTGTGTGTGTGTGTGTTGGAGGTGTGTGTGTGTGTTGCAGGTGGTGGGGGTTTTCCTGGAATTATTCATATGTGTATGTTGAAGGTGTGTGTGTGTGTTAGAGGTGTGTGGTGTGTATGTCTGTACTGGAGGTGTGTGTGTGTGTTGGAGGTGTGTGTGTTGGAGGTGGTGGGGGTTTTCCTGGAATTATTCATATGTGTGTGTTGGAGGTGTGTGTGTGTGTTAGAGGTGTGTGGTGTGTATGTGTGTACTGGAGGTGTGTGTATTGGAGGTGTGTGTGTGTGTGTGTGTGTGTTGGGGGGTGTGTGTGTGTGTTGGAGGTGGTGGGGTTAGTCCTGGAAACCGTGTGTGTGTGTGTGTATGTGTGTGTGTGTGTTGGAGGGGTGTGTGTGTATTTGGAGA